ATAAATAAATTTATTTAATATCATAACTTTTTAATAAATAATTAAAATTAATTATTTAAATAATATATAAAAAGAATATAAAAATTATTTTAAATTATTTTTTATTTAATATAAACTAAATTATAAAATAAAATTGAAATTATATTTGCTATAAAAGGGTAAAATAGTGAATGCCTTTTTGTTTCGGTAAATCAGAAAACAATATTTGCACCTGAAAAAAAGGAAAAAGATTTTAGTAATTTTTGTTTTTTTTTCACGTGATCATCTTTATTTGATTCGTCTCAATTTACAAGCGCGTAGCGCGTATGGTTCCCACTAAATTAGTAATTAAAATCCCAAATTGCAAAGTACCTTTTACGACTGGGATAATTGAGGAGAGGCGAGGGCCGTTTCCCACTTCAACTCTTCTCTCTTAATGGACTCTATCACTCTCTTCTGCACTGGGGCTCTCCTAGCCGGCGGCCTCTACTGGTTCGTCTGCATTCTTGGTCCGGCGGAGCAGAAAGGCAAACGCGCCGTTGACCTGTCTGGCGGCTCGATATCTGCCGAGAAAGTTCAGGACAACTACAAGCAGTACTGGTCCTTCTTCCGCCGGCCTAAGGAGATCAAAACCACCGAGAAAGTGCCTGATTTCGTCGACACGTTCTACAACTTAGTCACTGATATTTACGAGTGGGGTTGGGGCCAATCATTCCACTTCTCCCCCTCCATTCCTGGCAAATCTCACCGCGATGCCACGCGCCTCCACGAAGAAATGGCCGTCGATCTCATCAACGTCAAGCCTGGAGATCGAATCCTCGACGTCGGATGCGGCGTTGGTGGTCCGATGCGTGCTATTGCATCCCACTCGCGGGCCAATGTCGTGGGCATCACGATCAACGAATATCAAGTGAATCGAGCCCGGTTACACAACAAAAAGGCGGGCCTAGATTCTCTATGTGAAGTCGTTTGCGGCAACTTCCTACAGATGCCGTTTCCCGACAACAGCTTCGACGGAGCGTACTCGATCGAGGCAACATGTCACGCGCCGAAGCTGGAGGAGGTATACTCCGAGATTTTCCGGGTTCTGAAACCCGGATCGTTGTACGTGTCCTACGAGTGGGTCACGACCGATAAGTATCGATCCGACAACCAGGAACATGTGGAGGTCATTCAGGGAATTGAGAGAGGCGACGCCTTGCCGGGGCTCCGGAGCCACAGAGACATTGCCGAGACGGCGAGAAAGGTAGGTTTCGAAGTGGTGAAAGAGAAGGATCTAGCGAAGCCGCCGGCGCAGCCGTGGTGGACACGGCTCAAGATGGGCAGGATCGCCTACTGGAGGAACCACATTCTCGTCACGGTTCTCGCTGCCTTGGGAATTGCCCCAAAAGGCACCGTCGATGTTCACGAGATGCTCTTCAAGACTGCCGATTATTTAACCCGCGGTGGCGAGACCGGAATTTTCACTCCTATGCACATGATTCTCTGCAGAAAACCGGAGGTGCCGCCTCCCAAAACTTCTTAACCATTTCCATTAGGTACTTCCGTGGCATTGCATTTCGCATTTTTTTCTTTTTAATCTTTCTTAATTTTCTAGGTTCTTTTTTTTTTCCTTAAAATTACTGGAGATCATGTTTCTTTTTCTTTTTCTTTTTTTTAATTTCTTTTTTATTTAAATTCCAGTTGTTAGATCTTGTTTTTATAATGAACTAATGAAGCCATGAAGGGAAGTTTTTTTTTTTTGGAAAATAGGTAATGGATTTTTGGGTCTAATTTTATATTATAAAATTTGAATTTCCGGATATTTGGCGTTTGTTTGCGTAGCAATAGATTAGAGGGACTCTCCTTATCTCTGATGAACTCTGTAGGATTAGGAACACAAGCAGCTTTAAGATTTGCGAAACGACATCCAAAAGCAAACGAGGGAAACAGTAATTAACAATTCCCATTCAGAAGAATCTCCGTCTCGAAGTTTCCGTTACACTTTTTTTTTTTATTCTTCTATATTTCACCGTCCGATGAATAAAAAATAGTCCCAAAATTTATTAACGGTATGGATCTGTGTGTGATGTACCTGGGAGTACGTGCACAGGGGGAGAAAGAGAGAAAAAGGTGTGTAGTTGTACACGAGGCGCACATGTATAGTTTAGACATTTTTTTTCTTTTTTTCGCTAGGATGTCGCGCCAAAACCTGTTCTGCTTTTGTGCTTTTTTTTGTCCCCATCGGACGTGCTGGAGATAGGACAGTTGGGCCACGCGTCCACGCTTGGATCCTTCACCGTTCCTTGCGTTCTTCCTGTCCTCTTCTTACTAGTAAAATTGCAAAAATCTCAAGCGGTAATTATCTGTAGGATCTGTTTATTTCATATTTTAATTTGGGGATTCTAATGAGAAAACCGTAGAAGAGGGGGATTTTTTTTTT